AGTGTATTTGGTAATACTGAAGCTTAAATGAATTTGTTCAAATCTAAACTACCATTTGCTTTAATTTTCCGCCAAAATCTCCGGCGTCTGACGTCAGTTACAACATGAGTCGCTTACCTTGTCCGTCACTTCCGTCACTTACCTCCCTGTAATTTATTGCAGATTACTTGTATTTGCTTTATTTTTTACTAAATGTTTGAGATGTGGAATAAACCGCAATGGAGCAAAATATGGGTGTGTGGTTGGTGGATGTGTTTATGTGTGCGTGCGTGTGTGCGTGTGTGCAAAGGGGGGTCACGAACATTGTTCTTGTAAAACAAAGGGGGGCCCAGCAAAAAAAGTTTGGGAATCACTGGTTTATGAGATGAAACAAGATAAATGGTAAATGGTAAATGGCCTGCATTTGTATAGCGCTTTTCTGGTCCATAGGACCCCAAAGCGCTTTACACTACATTCAGTCATTCACCCATTCACACACACTTTCACACACTGGTGATAGCAAGCTACATTGTAGCCACAGCTGCCCTGGGGCAGCTGTGGCTACAATGTAGGGGTGGTGTGGCAGTACTTCTAACACTGGAAACATGCTAGGGGTGGTGTGGCAGTACTTCTAACACTGGAAACAGTTCATCACATTGAGCACAGTCACTTCTTGTGTCACATGCTTTTCTTTGACATGTGTCAAACAAAAGCATCAAATTCTGTGTTGTAGAGTTTAGTGCTCTAGTCAGTAATTGGATATCCATCTAATAGTTTGGTTTGTTTGTAAAAGTTAAAATGTAATCCACCATTTCAACATTCTTTAGTCTGATTCATATTTTCATGTCTTTAGAGGTATGAATTTAGATGTTTCAGATGGTGAAGAACCCTGTAAACTGAACTGTGGTTATACATGTGAGAAAAAAAGTCCATAGCTTTCTTAAAGTTTCCTGAAGACTGTTTGAAACCACTTCCTGTTGGCTTCAGCTGTTTGGAGTTTCCATTTCCTAAACTTCTACATTCTGAACCTTCTTCAGCTCTGAACAGATGATGAAACACTGAATGATTTCTAGCACTTTGTCTAATAAACTTACATCTTTCATTCTTTATGCAGATTGAGGAGCTGTGGTCCATCAGAGATCAGCTTGCTGATCTCAGCTCTGAAGTCCAACTCCTCCTATCTGAAACGTCTGGACATGAGTAGTGACAGTTTTTCCACAAATGCGAACAAGCTGCAGGATTCAGGAGTGAAGCATCTGTCTGGTTTTCTGGAGAGTCCAGGATGTAAACTTGAAACTCTGAGGTCAGTCAGCATGTGACTGTAGCTCAGGAGGTAAAGCAGGTCACCTACTGATAAAAAAGTTAGTGATTCAATCCCTGGTTCCTCCAGTCTGCATGTCAATTCAATTTTATTCATATAGCACCAAATCATAACAACAGTCGCCTCAAGGTGCTTTATATTGTACAGTAGATCATACAATAATAGATACAGAGTAAAACACAACACTCATATGACCCCCTATGAGCAAGCATTTTGGCGACAGTGGGAATGAATGTGGGAAAAATGTAAGAAAAATGAATTTTCTATAACTTTGTTGGAATTTCTGGAAAATTGAAAGCTGCTTCCTGTTGGCTTCAGCTGTTTGGAGTTTCCATTTTCTAAACTTCTACATTCTGAACCTTCTTCAGCTCTGAACAGATGATGAAACACTGAAACACTGAAGCACACACTTTGTCTAATAAACTTACATCTTTCATTCTTTATACAGGTTGAGGAGCTGTGGTTTGTCAGAGACCAGCTGTGATTATCTGGCAGCAGCACTGAAGTCCAACCCCTCCCATCTGAGAGAGCTGGACCTGAGTAATAATAACTTGCAGGACATGGGGGTGAAGCAGCTGTGTGTTTTTCTGAAGAGTCCAGGATGTGGACTTGAAACTCTGAGGTTAGTCACCATGTTTTAGTAGTGCTGAGATGACTGAGATAAGATAAGTTAAGTGGCAGCACGGTGGCACGGTGGTTAGCACTGTTGCCGCACAGCAAGAAGGTCCTGAGTTCAATTCCGCCATCAGCCCGGGTCTTTCTGTGTGGAGTTTGCATGTTCTCCCCGTGTTTGCGTGGGTTCCTTCCGGGTACTCCGGCTTCCTCCCACCGTCCAAAGACATGCAGCTTGTGGGGATAGGTTAATTGGTTAATCCAAATTGCCACTAGGTGTGAATGTAAGTGCGAATGGTTGTCTGTCCCTGTGTGTTGGCCCTGCGACAGACTGGCGACCTGTCCAGGGTGTACCCCGCCTCTCACCCTATTACAGCTGGGATAGGCTCCAGCGCCCCCCGCGACCCTGAAAAAGGATAAGCGGAAGTCAATGGATGGATGGAAGATAAGATAAGATGAACCTTTATTAGTCCCACACATGGGAAATATGTTGTTCACAGCATAAAGTGGACAGTGCAAAGTTGCAGCTGCAAAAATTAAGAAGAGCAAAGGAATAGAATAAGATTAAAAGAATACCATAATATATACAACAGAATAAAATACTATGTTGTCGGGAAAAACAATTACACTTAGTGTTATTGCACATGTGTGGATGTGTGTGTTTGGTCAGTTGAAGTCTTTGTTGTGGAGTCTGAAAGCAGCAAGAAGGAAAGACCTTCTGAATCGCACCGTCCCACATCGTGGGTGCTGCAGCCTTTCACTTTGGCAACAGTGGGAAGGAAAAATCTCCCTTTTAACAGGAAGAAACCTCCGGCAGAACCAGGCTCAGGGAGGGGCGGGGCCATCTGTTGCGACCGTTGGGGTGAGAGAAGGAAGACAGGATAAAAGACATGCTGTGGAAGAGAGACAGAGATTAATAACAGATATGATTCAATGCA